TTTCATTTGTATGCAACAAGCGTAATGAACTGCTCTAATTAAGAGAGCTGACATCATAACTGAGAATACAAAGTAGATGGACGGTTAGAATTTAGATATTTCAAATGGATGATAAACATGAAAATTGTTACTGATAGTTTTGTTCCCAAAACAATCAAACTAAAAAACAATAGTATAAATATTTTAGATGTATCTACTTCTTTATTACTAAAGGAGAACAACAAGAAAGTTAAAATGAATAGTAATCTAAGTTTGTGAACAATGAAAAAAATAAAATGAATAACCAACCCACGTTTCACAGATATGCAACCAATCACTATACTCCCACGTTCTAGGCCAAACTTCCCACGTTACACGTTCTCTCTCCCTCCCCCTTCTCTCTCTCTATTTTTTTGGAAAACCACCCCATCCCCATCTCTTGCCTGTCTCTGTCCCTTCCCCTCTCTCAACCCATTGGAATCCCCTTTGTCTCTCTATCCCAATTCCGACTCTCCCTCTCTATCTCGATCTCAAAACGAAATTTTTGTTTGACCTTAAATTAAGAAAGGGGATTTCTTCATTCAACCTCCTCCTCTGAATTGGGATCTCGAAACGACTCTCACTCAAGAAAGGGACGACCATGGTGGAAACGAGGGCTTTTTCTGAACGGTCTCTTCTTTCAACCTCCTCCTCTTCATCAACTGTCTTCAAGCCCAAACGCTCCAAGGTCCGATCTTTTTCTTTCTTTTTTCTTTTCTGGTGAAATTTCTTCAATTTAAGGGCTTTGATCGGTTTTTTGTTTGTCGTTTTTATCTGTAAGTAGATGAAAAGGTTCCGGTTCAGATTTCCATCCTTTTTTCTTTTTTATTATTTGTGATCCAAGTGTTCTTCTCCACTTTGTAAATTCTGTCTCCTCATCCATTTAATGTTTTCTAAAAATTTTGAATTTTGAATTTGGTTTTAATTTTAGGAGAGTAGAGGGTTAACTCGATAATTAAAGACTATTCTACGCGTTGGATCAGTATGTGAATTAAGTTTACCTTGAAGACTATTTATGGGTTTTTTAATCAGATTTTGATATGGGTTTTGTTTTTTAATGGTGAAGGATTGCGAGGTCGAGTTTCAGGTCGGACAATATATATTTTTTGAGGACAGCTTATGTTTATGTTTATGGTTTGTTCTATACTCCCTTTTTTAGGGATATTTTTATGTTTTTTTTTCGTATATGTGCGTTTATTTATGTTAGAAATTCCCTAAAGATTATAAAAATTAAAGCTCTGTTTTCCTTCAAGTTGATTTATAGGAAATTTTGAATTTAATCAAGCCATGAGTAGCATTTGGTTGAAAAGCTCTTATGTTTTTTTTTTTGGTGGTGGGGAGGGGGGGTTGCAATATTTGAGGACCTATAAAGATGCAGACTTGGTACGGCGATTGAATGTTTTTTGAAGTTGGCTCTGATTTGGAGTGTGAATTCTGTAGGTTTACTGTGAATCCCAGGCGAAGGATTCGTCAGCATAATGGAGAAATCAGGTGTGGTGCGTGGAGGACGAAGAGAGGACGGCCATGGGAGATGATTCTTTGCATCTATGGCTTCCCTTCCAATGTCTCGGCCCTTCAGGTTATATACATTAAGAGTTGTGTCACTTTTATATGTTATTAATCCATATTTGATATCTTTTTTACAAGGAATCAGAAGATACTATTGCTTAGGAGGTCGTAGATTCTAATCATCATTGTCAAACTGAAACTATAAAGACTATGATACCTGAGAGGGAAATGAAATGTAGCAATAGGATATACCTATGGAATATGTAGTTATAATTGAGTTCTATGTTGTTTATTGATATAGAACAACAAGAAAGTTAAAATGAATAGTAATCTAAGTTCGGTGTAATATTTCTTCCTTTTGCATTGGGTCTGGAATTCTCTACAACAAAGGTTAACTATTTGTTTTTAAGCTATAATTTGATTGGAGTGGTAATTCTCTAAAATTTGATTGAAGTTTCTTTTCCTGTACTTAAATGCATGTGTTTTTTATGCTTGTCTGGGACGAAGATGCGCCAGTGTAACTTCTTGGCAATTTGTATTGTTGTAAAGACACAAAAAGTAACAAATCAGTCAAGCTATCTCAAATCACATTTAACAAGGAGTCATTTTTATGTGAAACTAAATATGAATAATTGTACAGCCTTTTAGCTTTATAACATCTCATACAATTGAATGCAATTCTCAAAACAACCTCTGAAGATCAGGCCACAAAGAGGAATAGAGGTTTTCCTGTATAATTCAGTAAATATTTGCTCAATTTTCCATACAATTGACTGACTCCAATTCTTGAACTTTAACATTTTAACTTGCCTAGCCCTAGAACCCACTCTTACCTATTTATATGGGTAGCATTTGTAAATAAAAAATTATATAAGTAATATTTCAATAAGTTCAATTGTTAGGACTACCGAATCGAACAGTTAATGAACTTTCGAACATACATTTGGTTAAATTCTATTAAAAAGTTATCGTTAATGAACTATCAAATCAAACATACCTTTGGTTAAATTCTATTCATTTATAAGCCAAACACTGAAAATTATTTGTTCAGTACTAAATGAACTATTAAATCAAACTTGATCGAATATCTGAACGAATAATTAAAAAAAACAAATAGCACTCCTATACTTTATATCTAAAGCAGAATACTTTATTTTGGTAATATGTTCAATATTTACATAAAATCTTTTAGAAACCGTGCTTTGCACGGGTCTAAATACTAGTTTGTGATAAAGCAGTCAAAAACAAGTAAATCATGTCTAGAATAAACCTCATCGATCTGGAACTAGCTACAGAAGAAAATTACATGAAACTAAGACACTCATAACGAAGTAACTCAGCACGTGGGCTATTGCATACCGTTTTCTTTATGAAATTAAGCTTTTCTTGAAAAGAAAAAAAATAGTTTTTATTGAATATAGATTACCCTGAGAAGAGCTACATTGCTTCAGGTAGGGGCGCATTCGATCCGGATACGGCTCGGATATGATGTTTACCATATCCATATCTACTTACTAATTTCCAATACAGATACGGATACGGATATACTACGGTAAGGAAAATTCATATCCAATATCCGCTAAAATCAGACACGGATACGGATATACATGCGGATATATAAGCGGATATGCATACGGATATAAAGTGGATATGAGAAAACTAGATACCGTAGAAAATAGTTCATGTGATACAAAAGTGTTCATTAATATGTTCATTATATCTGAAAAGCTAAGATTAGATATCTTGATCGTCCAAATTAACCTCATATCCACAATTTAAAGACTAAAACCATTATAATAATATGACTAATATGTATTCGGCTATTTCGGATACGGTTCCGGATATTTCACTACAAAAGTATATCCGTAACCATATCCTATTGGTTATAAATTTGAGTAATCATATTCGAATCTTAATGGATACGGTTATGGATATTTCCTTAGATACGGATTCGGTTTAGCACCCCTATCTTCATGGTAGAAGTTAAGGAAGAAAGGGAAAAGGCAGTCAAGCTCATATGCACTAATTTCTAAAAACAATAGAAAGAAATATAATCTCAATTAATTTACCTTTTCACGGAGCAAACATACCGCCCAACAGCATCATCATTTACCTTCTATATCAGTCAGAATTTCCAAAGTACTAAGCAACATAAAAAAAACTCTCAAGTTCTCCGGACTTCATCAGAGTATCACTGTCAATCTTCAGTTCACCCCAATGGCAAAACATAAAAAACCTTCAGTATTTTTTTCCCTGAGAGTCCTAGGGAGTCGCTGCCATCAAAATTAATTAAACCACCATGAAATCAGCATCCTTTACTGTATAATTATCCAAGGATGGCTTGTGCTCTGCCATTTTCATCTTGTCATGATCGAAGATTTCTAACCATGCTATAAATTAATTCACGCTCGCTAGGTGATTTATCCTGAACGAGAAACACACGAACCATGCTGCCAATTGCAATCCAACTAGACCCTTGTTGCTTCTTTTATCCTCTACTTCTCATCGGCGACCTAATTTTCTTCGCTTCCTCCCATTTCCCAGCAGAAGCATATACATTAGACAATAATGAATTAAGTTCCAGCATTATCTGGTTCAGCTTCTAACAATCTTTTAGCAGCTAAATCTGTCCAAGACGACCAGCACGACTACAGAGATCAACCAAGCAAGTATAATGATCTTTACTAACCTCAATGGACTCGTCTCTAACCATTGACTTAAAATACATAAGCCCATACTTGACCCAAAACAAGCAATTGCCAGAATTAAAACTTCTTAAATTCATAAAATTCAACTCGAGAGAATCCTAAAATAGAAATGCAATCAAAACCTGCTACAACTTGTAGCAGTGCATGGTCTCCACCTATATAATGGAGGGCTACATTGAAGTGAACGTGGCATGATCTCCACCTGTGGAGGGCAACATTAAACTGAACGTGAATTCAGCATTTAATGACGGGCCGGATAGTAGCAGTTGTAGTAGTTGCGGCAGTTGCAAGAAACAATAAAGGGTTTGTCCTGAGAATTTCAATTTATATTTCACCAGCAACCTCGGCTGATGAAGCAGAAGCATTTGCTATTTTACATGGGTTGCAATTATGCAAACGAGAAGAATATTCAAATTTGATTCTTGAATCAGATGCTATAAATAATAATGGGTTGCAATTATGCAAACGAGAAGAATATTCAAATTTGATTCTTGAATCAGATGCTATAAATAATAAAAATTAGGTTATGAATGGCTCCTCGCATTCTCCTTGGAGATTTTCTCATCTCGTTTATGAGGCCCAAAGTTGTGCAAATTCTATCCAATTTTTGCAATTTCAGTATATCCCAAGAACGTGTAACCAAGCTGCTCACATAATTGCCGAGATTGGATTCAAATCTGGGTTGAATGGTGCTTGGTGCTTTCAAACATTCCAAATGAGATTTTAAGCTTTTTATGTATTTGCAACAATTCTACTTGCGTAATATAAGAAAGCTATGGCTGTTTCGTTTATTTTAAAAAAAACAAGAACAAAAGAAGAACAAAACAAAACAAAACATAAGCCTTTCACCAACCAAACCAGAGTGACTACAAACTGAAAGCAATCTAAGTTTACATCATTCGGCTTGAAACACTTTTGTTCCATATCCTCAAAACATCGAACCGCTTCATAAGCGAGACCATGATGAACAAATGGAGCGATAATTGCATTCCAAGACAGAAAACCCTTACGCTTTGATTCCAATCCCACCGCACTTTGGGTACGTGCCTACGAGACAGGAACAGATACGCGGTTTGAATTGGAAAAGGGGTTTTGATAATCATTTGATGAACTTGTTGCCCTTCTTGGAGAACAGCTAGATTGCCAATGGAAGGGCAATATTATGTTCACAAAAAGTTCCTACGTCGGGTCCAATACCATCTGCAAGCATTTCTAAAAGCAACTTCAATGCAATTTCATTCTCGTCGTTTTGAAACATAACCCGTCATTAGTGAAGTCCAAGTAACCACATTTCTTTCTGTCATCTCATCGAATAATTTTCTCGCTTGTTCCAATTTCCCAGTCTGAATCAATCCAGTGATTATTGCGGTCTAGGAAGATATATCCCTCCTGGGCCTTCTCTCAAAGAGCTCAAGCGCTTCCTCCCCTCTCTTATTCGCTGAATATCTTGATATCATTGTATTTCAAGAAACCACATCTCTTGCAGGCATTTTACCTGCGGTCTCTATCTCCTTGGCCACAGTGTCATTCCTTAACGACCTCTTCTACTTCTCCTCCTCAATTATGGCCACGTCGCTCCAAAGCTGCCTCCCTCTTCAAAAAATGCTCTTCGTCAAAAATACGTTGGCGCTAACAGTTAACACATACAATTTATAGTTAAACGCATTTGACATTTTACGCATCAATTTAACTGTTAACTTTGGTGCTCACTGTTAACTTTAATATTCTGTTAACTGTTAATTTTAATACCGATTCACCGGAGCTGATGAGAGGTTGGCCTAGGACGGTGAGGGTTTTTTCGAAGCTAAAGAGGGATTGATCGTAGCTGAGAAGGGGCTTGTTAGATAACGGTCATGGTTTGTTGGAATTGATGAGCGGTTGCATGAGACAACACGGCGTTTACCAGAGCCGGAGAGGGATTTGTCGAAGCCGACAAGGGGCTTGCTGGATTCGGCCATGGTCTCATTGGAGCTGACGTGGGTGGTTGGCCAACGAGGACTTTATATGTTTTTTATCTTTATCTTTTTTTCTCTTCTTCTCAAGCAATAAGACTATATGCGGGTTGTCATATTAATTTGTATCATTCTAGCATGCATCTTATTTCATTATTATCTTTTTAATGAAACCCTTGGGACTTAGCCTCACAGTAACTCCCGAAAACTATTAGCTCATGCCTTAATTATAACATTGTTCATTAACTGTTAACTACGGTACATATTTGATGGATATCTTAGAGGAGAGAGGCGATCTTGGAGGAAAACGACTGAGAAAGAAGAGATGGGTTAAAAAATGTTGGGAAATGGGACAAAGCAGTGCGGGTTATAAGCATCAATTTCCAAATGAAAGAAGACCAACAAAGAACGAAAAAGAAATACCTTTTCACAGAGCAAAGCATACTGCAAAATGGCACAAATGAATGAATCACAAAATCTCCCCAAATTCAATCTCAACGCCATCCTTTGTATTCCTTATCAGCCATCAGTTTTAGCTAGGAAAGCCAGAGCAATTCCAAAGTCCTGAATATTATTAAAATCTCGTAATTCTTCAGTCTTCAGAGCATCAATGACCATCTTCAAATTTCTTTTTTCCTGAGAGTCCAAGTAAATCATTGTCATGTTTACAAAACCACGAAATCAGCATCCTTAACAGAACAATTATCCAAAGAAGGGATATGCTCTGCCATTCTCATCTGATGATGAAGATTTCTAACCATGCTATATATCAACTCACGCTCACTGTGTGATTTATCCTGAACAAGAAACACATGAACCATGCTGCCAATTTCGATCCAACTACATCCCGGTTGCTTCTTTAATCCTCTACTTCTCATCGTCGACCTAATTTTCTTTGCTTCCTCCCATTTCCCAGCAGAAGCATACACATTAGACAATAATGTGTAAGTTCCAGCGTTGTCTGGCTCAGCCTCTAATAATCTCTTAGCTGCTAAATCTGCAATCTTCACATTTCCGTGATTATTACAACCCCCAAGAAGAGCTCCCCAAACCAATGCTGGCGGCTTAATCTTAAGTCCTTTGATGAGATTCATAGCTTCTTCAATCCGACCAGCACGACTACAGAGATCAACCAAGCAAGTGTAATGATCTTCTCTAATTTGAACAGACTCATCTCTAACCATCGACTTAAAAAACATTAGCCCTTCATCAACCAAACCAGAGTGGCTACAAGCTGAAAGCAACTCTATGTAAGTTACGTCATTTGGCTTGAACCCTTTTCGTTGCATATCCTCAAACCACTGAACTGCTTCATTCGCACGGCCATGGTGAGAAAATGCTGCGATGATTGCATTCCAAGATACCAAATCCTTACGCTTTGACAAATTAAACACTTCCTTAGCGATTCCAATTTCACCGCACTTTGAATACATGCTTATGAGACAAGCATCAATAAAGGGTTTGAATTGGAAAGGAGTTTTCATGATCATTTGATGAACTAGTTGCCCTTCCTGTAGAATAGCTAAATTTCCAACGGCGGGTAATATATTTACAAATGTTCCTTCGTTTGGTTTAATACCATCTGCTAGCATTTCTAAGAACAACTTCAATGCAATTTCATTCTTGCCATTTTGAACGTAACCTGTGATCAATGAAGTCCAAGTAACCACATTTCTCTCTGTCATCTCATCGAACAATTTCCTCGCTCGATCCAATTTGGTGTTCTGAATCAATCCAGTAATTATTGCATTCCACGAAGGAATATCTCTCTTAGGCATTCTCTCAAAAAGCTCAAGTGCTTCTTCTATTCTCTTATTCGCTGAATACCCTGATATCATTGCATTCCAAGAAACCACATTTCTATCAGGCATTTTGTCAAACACTTCACGAGCAAGATCGATCTTCCCATTCTGAGCCAAACCCGTCACCATCGCGGTCCACGAGATAACATCACGCTCACCCATCTTACAGAACAAATCATAAGCTTCATCGACCCGACCTTTTTGCGACAAACCAGCGTTCCAAGAAACCCACATTTCTCATGCGGCATTTTCCATCGAACACAGTCGCGAGCTTTTCCTCCAAATAGCCCACAACTAAGACCTTCGATCATGGTATTATAAGTTACCACATTCTTGTCGGGTATCTGGTAGAAAAGAGCCTCGGCTTCTTGTATCCGGTTGGAGCGGATGTAGCCCGAGAGCAATGCAGTCCACGTGACGACGTTCTTCTTGGCGTCGGGTCGGTCGAAGAGGTGGCGGGCTTCTCGGAGATGGCCGCATCGGATGTAGCCAGAGATGAGAGCGGACCAAGTGATGAGGTCTCGGTCAGGTGTTTCGTCGAACAGTTGGCGGGCCTCGAAGATTTTGCCCTCGCGGCTGAGTTTGGTTATTTGGAGGTTGGAGCGGACGATGGCGGGGTCGAGGCTGGGGTTGAGATGATGGACGGTGGAGATTATTGGGGTGGAACTTGTGGAGAGAGAGCGGAGGGATGGAGAGAAGAGTTGGAGGAGAGGAGGTGAGATTGCCGGTGTTTTTGTAGAGAAGCGGCGGTAAATGACGGTGATGTACATCGAATATGAAATTGCAAGCGATATGTATGAGATTTTCAGCTAAAAGTTCTCCATATTCTTATTTTTTCTTCCCAGCATTTATACATTCTATTTTATATAAAATTTGCACACTAGTATTCTATATTATATATGCGTGAAAATTTCACCCTAACTTTCTCATTTGACGCTTCAAATCGGGTGAGTGTCATGTTGGAACATTCACCTAATAAAAGAACTCATGTTTACATCATTGAGGGTATCAAATATGTCCATTTTAAAAATTTTATATATGAATGCCAAAAAACAACCGAGGATATAAAAGTGCAATGAAACTAAGGTATTCAATTGCTATTTAGTCATTGAGAAAAAATTGTTCTTCCCTCAAAATTTCTATTTTTTTATTGATTAACTTCTCTTAATCTATAAAGATGTATTATTGTAGTTGGGATGCCATATGACTATCCACGGTTCTATGTTATGGTAATAGCTTCATCGGGATGCAATATGAATATCCGTAAATACATCTAATCTCCATATTTACACATTTACAATGTGTTTGGAAGTTTACTAGGGCAAGGAAGAGGAAGATAAAATGAGGAAAAGAAGGGGAAGATAAAATATGGAAAGGAAAAATAGAAAAAGAAAGAAAAAAATATAATATCTTATTTAAGAGTTCAGTGAAAGAAATAAAGGGAAACTTGTTTCCTCATTTCTGAGAGTTTTTAACTTCGTTTGGGAATTTTATTAGGAGGGTGAATAGGGAAAATGAGAAGTTTTCATAAAAACTTTTTATGATTTCTTTCACCCTCAAATTAAACAGTAATGAAAAGAAGGGAAATGAAAATAAAATTCATAATAAAAGAGATATCTTAACTCTCTATCATAATAAATCAATAACTAAAATTTATTTACTTTCCTTCTTTCTTCATAATTAAAACTCTCAAACAACATAATTTTAAGTTCTCCTCAATTTTAAGTTCTCCTCTATTCTCCTTAGAAAACCCTCAAACAATAATAACATTTTCGCTCCTCTTTCTTATCTTGTTTTTTTCTAAATTATCTTTCCTTTTATTCCCTTAGTGCTTGTTTGATATGAAGGGAATAAGAGAGAAAGAAAGTTAGAAAAACTATTCACATTATTTAAAAACATTTAGAAGGTAAAGATATTCAATCTTAGTTCCCCCGCTAATAAACATTAAATTTGTTGCCCCCTAAATTGAAGTGTAACCAAAGTGTAACCAAGGAGAATGGCATTTACTTCCCTTCCCCCTCCTAGTTTCTCTCGAACTTACTTAACCCCATTAAAATCCAAACACCATTTAAACCACATTGAAATCCAAACACACCGCCCATGGTAACCTCTCAAACATAGCATTAGTGATGGTTAAGCAAAGTAACTATGAATAGCATCTTCTTCTCGAGACATCTAATACTATTATAAAAGTGGGTTGCCATGTTAAAACATTTCTTCCAAAAATACCCTTCGAAACACATACATGCATACATCTCTAGCACATCCATACATGCATACATGCATACATTAAGATATATACATACTTAATTTTTCATAACCTCCCCATTTATTAGCATCAAATTTTTATTTAACCACCCACTAATAACATTCCCCCACTAAGTCTTGACATTACACACTAATAATGAAAAACGTTACAACTATTCAACTTCCATAAATTACTATTATAAGTCTTGACATTATACACTACTAAGAAAAACGTTACAACTATTCATCTTCCATAAATCACTATAAATTACTATAGAACCTTATCAAATTTCTCTAACCAAAATTCTAACTTCTAATCAAAATTTATTCATATTGAAAAGTAAGGAGACACAACTACAGCACTTACAAAAGGCAAGAAGTGTGAGTGTTTCAATGGTAACATCACTGGTGGAGTACAATCGAATTGAATGAGGAGATGGTAATGGAAGCATCAATGTAACAATTTAGAGAGCAGAGAAAAAACCGGTGAAGGCGACAAAGAAGGCGGTAAAGGGTAAATTTTTGTTCTATTGTCACTAAGGTAATACATTGATATTATTGGGTTATAAAGGACAAATAGAAAGTGTAGGAAGATCAATTTAGAAAATGATATAGTTAGTTGGTCTTGAGGGTGCTTATAGAATGGAGTACTACTACAATTTTAAGAGTATTATGAATTTTCTGCTATTAATTATTAAATTTCTAATATTAATCTACTATTTGAGTATAATAGTTAATGTATGATAATTATAATATATATTGATATCACATTAATATATAATATTTATATAAATTATTAAATATGTGCAATTATCAAATATAATATGAGTAAAAAGTTATTTATTTACCAATTCAAATAAATAAATATATAACATAACATTACAGTAACATGAAAAGTCGTCAACTTTTTATTAACCATCCCCCCCTCTCTTCAATAAGAAACCCATTCATGAAGGGTTACCCATTTCTCCATTAACCATCTGTAAATTGCATTATTATAACAAATAGGGAAAATTATACATAATTCCCTCTTCTATATCTTGAGTTGCACTAAATCATCCTCAATATACTAGCACTTAATACCCTTGAAATGCAATTTTAGAGATATAAATTGCAAGTATCAAATATAAATTGGGGGGACTCTAAGAGCTAATAATAAACTAGAGGAGGTTTAATAATTTCTAGAAAGATAATTTCAAAATAACATCTCTCTCTCATGTAAATGTACTTAAGCTTCTTGCTTTACAAGTAGTTTATATTTTATAATAGAAACACGTGTAAGCTAATTTTCTATGCAGAGAGTTATTGTTTTTGATAAAAATAACTTATTCATGACCTCCTACAAATATACTCATTTAATCTTTATGCATTAAGTCTCATTTTATTGAATAAATATTAATTCTTTATTAATTACTATAATATCTTAATAACTATTCACTTTCTAACCTAATAGAACCAAAAGAATTCCAAAAAATTAATCAACAAATATGCCTACGTGCAACGCACGTACAAGATACTAGTTAAATCTAAAAGCAGGTGACCATTTTTCCCATTAACTAACATCTCTAAAACTATACATTCTTAAATGTTCTCTGCTAATTAATATGAGCGACCAAATCCCACCAATTCAAGTATTAAAATCCCAATCTTAATTCTTTTTAAGAGGTTCATTTAGTTTTAGATGTCCAAGACTACACCGTTAGTGAGGGATCAATTTAACACCCATCAAAAGGGTGAGGAAAAAAAGGAAAAGAAACACCCAATTTCAAATCAATTTGCAAGCAAAACCAACAAAACAAATCCCAACACTAAATTCATTCACTACCACCACAAAACACAATTTCAACACAAATCATAACCCCTACATCTTTTACAAAAAACCCCCCAAAATCTAAACCCTAAGATGACATCCATAACCCTCAACCCCCAAATCCATAGAGGGTTCAACCTTGCCGTTTGATGGCGTAAACAACATCCATAGCAGTAACCGTCTTCCTCCGGGTGTGCGCGGTGTAGATGACGGCATCCCTGATGACGTTCTCGAGGAAGATCTTAAGGACGTCACGTGTCTCCTCGTAGATGAGGCCGCTTATCCTCTTCACCCCTCCTCGTCTCGCCAACCGTCGGATCGCCAGCTTTGTGATCCCCTGGATGTTGTCTCGGAGAACTTTACGGTGACGCTTGGCTCCCCCTTTGCCTAGCCCCTTTCCTCCCTTTCCTCGGCCCAGCATTTTTGGCGAATCCTTTTGATTTCTTCGAGGACTTCCTCTTTGGGATTTCGTGAGTTGGTGACCGATTTGGGGGGAGGTGGGTTTGGACTTTATAGGGGTGGGGTTGGGGGCTGATTTGGCGAAGCGTGTTTGTTTATGGAGCGTCGGATGAGGGGTCGATCCGTGGGAGGTGAGGGGGAGACTTATAGGCCGTTGGATTGTGGAGTGTTTTCGTTTTAATTGGAGGACGTGAGCGAGAGGGGATGGTGGTTTTGTTTGGAGAGGAGAGTGAGGGAAAGCACGATAGGATGTGGTTAGCCTAGCTCGATCGATCCAGGCTCTAGTCACAACAATGGTCAAGCCAAATACCATAATACTAGGCCCGGCCCGGTAACAACGGTCAGATTGGCCCTTTGACCGTTTTGCCCTCAAAAACGGTCAAAAAACGGCTATTTTGTGAGGTTATTTTGGTCATTTACCTAGGGGGCTGGTTCTATAAATAGAGGGGGGTTTTCATTTGTTTTCTTCACACCAAAAACTCATCTCTTCTCTCTTATACTCTTATACTCTCTCTTATACTCTTATACTCTCTTATTTATACTTTCTAATCCAATCCCCAAATGGCTTCCGGATCTGATTATGAAGAGCAAAACATATCTCCCGATCCTGAATTGAGTCCTCCTACTATGAGTCCTCCTACTATCAGTCCTCCTACCGAAGTTAATCCCGAATCCGGTGGCGACGAATCTGCACCAAGAGCTCCTAAACGGCCAAGATCCGATGTGTGGAATTTTTACGAGAAGATCGACGTCACCAAGGATGAACACGGTAGGATCCTCACCCAGAAGGCTAAGTGTGCTTTGTGCGGCAAGATTTTTCAAGCTCATCATAAGAGCGGCACCAACCACCTCAAACGCCATTTAGATAAACACAACAAAGGCCAGCCTCCTCAAGGTGATATCCGACAATCCATGATTTCTCAATCCTCCTCTTCTGGTAGTCTCGGTAGTTGGAACTATGACGCTGCCAGAGCCAGGAAATGCGTAATCAGGTTTATCATTCTTAAAAACCTTCCTTTTAAATTAGTAGAAGATGATGAATTTGAAGATATGTTTAGAGATGGTTTTTATCCTGCATTTAAAAAATTTTCTCGTCAAACCTGTCAACGTGATATTTTAAAATATTATCAGCAAGAACAAGAAAAAATAATTTCTTATTTTAAAAATTTAAACTGTAAATTTTCTTTAACTTCTGATATTTGGACATCTAGAGCACAAACTGGATATTTATGTATCACAGCACACTGGATTGATGAAAATTGGCAAATGTTTAAAAGAGTTGTTTCTTTTATTGCAATAGAAGAGTCACATACTGGTGCTAATGTTGCAAATTTAATAATTGAAGAACTTATGAAATTAGAAATTTCACAAAGAATATTTTCTCTTTCACTAGATAATGCAAGTAATAACAATGTAGCTGTTGATTTTATCAGATCATCTTTATCATTGCCATGTCATGGTGATCTTTTTCATATTAGGTGCATCTGTCATATTTTAAATTTAATTGTTCAAAGTGCATTTACTGAAATTAAACCCATGATAGAAAAGGTTAGAACAGTTGCTTACATGCATAGTGCTTCTGAACAAAGACTTAAAAGATGGAAACAATTTTGTAAAAGAAAAAATGTAAAGCCTAGACTAATTCCAAAAGATGTTGACCATAGGTGGAATTCCACATATGCAATGTTAAGTGTAGCAATAGAATATAAAGACATTATAACTGATTTTATAAACTATTATGCTTCTAGTTCTAGTTCTGGTAGCACTTATGGAATAACTGAAGATGAATGGACAGTTATATGTAATTTAAATGAAATGTTACAAGTTTTTTATGATGCTACCATGTTATTATCTGGCTGTTATTATCCAACCATTACTTTAGCTGCTTTACAAATTTTAAATATTCAAAATTTTTTTGATAAATATCGTTTGGATGCTACTTTTGGACCTATGGTTTTTGAAATGGAGAGCAAATTTAATAAGTATTTTAGGCCTATTCCTCATATTTTTGGTTTGGGGGTTCTTATTGATCCATGCTTGAAGGATATTGGCCTTCGAAGTTTGTTACAGTCATTGTATGGTGGACAGGTTATAGACTTAGATGATGGAACCACCCTGAATGCTACTACTCATCATTTACTTATTAGAAATTATTTTCAAACTTTATATGATGAGTATGCAGCTAGACATGGTGTAGCTGCACAACAGTCTGCAGCTTCGGTTTCTTCGAGCTCATCCCGAGCCCGAGGTAAAAGTGTAAGTTTTGATAGGTATGCAATGGTAGCCGAGCTAACTGGTGGATCTGGACTTGGATCGTCATCATCGGAGGTTTCTGAAATAGATGAATATTTTTCTGCTTCTTTAGTTAGATGTCAAGGAAATGCTTTAGATATTTTGCAATGGTGGAAAGTATATGGATCAGTTTCATATCCTATACTTTCCACCATGGTTCGTGATTTACTAACAGTGCAGGTTTCGACGGTAGCTTCGGAATCCGTCTTTAGCACAGCAGGTCATTTGATCGACGATCATATGACATGCTTGGATCCGTATACTGTACAAACGTTGATGTGCTTACAAGATTGGTGGAGGTACGAGAAGCGAACGCAAGGCATCGATCGGATGGCTGGAATTGAAGATAAATTTAAAGAATTGGGACTAGCAGATAGATATAAAGAATAGATTGTAGTTTTTATATCTTAGCTTACAATTTGTAAAGAATTATTTTGGAAATAATTGCAAATGATAGTGATATAGGTGAGTAGGTGCCAACCTAGTTGGGATTTACTTATCTATTGTGATGCGATTAATTCCAAAATAAATTTGTACTTGTAATTTGTAACTGATTTATCAATTATTAATAAAGAATATGTTTTTATCATTTCTTATTTGTAATTTATGTCATTTTAAGTAATTAATAAAATTATTGTTTTTGTTATTTTTCTTGTCTTTTTTTATAATTTATAAGTTAAATAACATTAAAAAATTTTGGAAAAAAATAAAAAAATAAAAAAAAAGAAAAATCACCCGGGCCAGCCCGGAACCCGGCCCGGTCGGGCCCGGGCCCGGGCCCGGACCCGGCCCGGTGTATCCGGGTCCGGGTCCGGGTCCCGGTTTTGCCCGGCCGGCCCGGATGGACAGGCCTAGGGGTGGGGTTGGGGGATAGTTTGGACAGAGTGTGTTTGCTTATGGAGCGTCGGATGAGGGGTCGATCCGTGAGAGAGAATTTGTGGAACTTGTGGCTGCTTTTGTCCGTTGGATTCGACGTTCTTCGTTACTATTGGATGGAGGCGGAAACGCCGGATCATGCTTTTTGATTCGTTGTCACGTGTTTTGATGGTCTGTTTTTTTTTCATATTGTTGGGCTGGCTCCTAAATAAGGGAGCCCAAATTTTATAAAACTATATTTTAAGGGGCATGTTAGTTTTTGGGTTTGGTTTTGTTTTCCATGTGATATCTATGATACTAAAAACAAGAGGGTTGATTTACTGTCTTTCAATGGAAAACTCGATGTAGAGGATATTCTTGATTGGATTAATGTGTTAAAGAGATTTTTTGGGTACTTAAAAATCATAGATGATCAGAATGTTAAACAAGTAACCTATTGACTTATGGGTGAAATATCTTTTTGGTGGTAATCATCATGTAAGGATTGAGCTTATCAGTAGAAGCGAGAAATCCGATCATGGGCCAAGATGATGCAATTGTCCTCATTTCCTTCCTACTTATTATTATGTGTTCAACCAATATCCAAATTCACACTCTAATTATGATCATAGAAGGATTAAGCAACACCAATCTATCCCTAAGACTATGAAGTTGTGAAGAGCACCGAAGAAACAACAAATTGAGATAACCACCTCAAAAGTACAATATCTTCCGCACAAGATGCATTGCATTGTAATACAAAAAGACTTGTGATATTATCATTAACAGTGCAATAGCGGGAATCTTATCTCTCAGCGTTTGGTAGGATGTTATGTTTGAAAATAGAAACACCATAATCCCTGCAAGATTGACTGTAGTCGTTAGGGCAATGATGTGCAAATCGATTAGATGTGTCGAAATCATTTTTCCATCAACAGCAACTATGTTGATGAGGTACTGTGTGATGTTGTCGAGATGGATACTTGTCATATGATTTTAGGTAGACTATAGCACTTTGATGTTTGTGTTACTCATAGGAGAAGAGACAATGCTTATATCATTGAGAAGGTTGGACGTCGAATTACACTCATACCTCTTACAGACAAGAAGATAGCTAAGATAAAGACTGCTAAATAGAAGAAATTTTTGATTATAGACAATGACGCTTTCCCAGAAGACTTGAATCAATCTGAAGATGTCTATGTCTTGGTTGTAATTGAAAAAGAAGAAATTGCCCTATCGAGATTCCTTCTGAGGTGCAAGGACTTGTTCAACTGAGATTCCTATTGTTGATATCGATATATTAGTGAATATGAATATTATGGATGAAATTCCTGAAATTATTGTGAGTAAGATTACATATGCTAATGTAGATAGTGATAAAGAGTGGGACGATTGATGATACATATAACTTGCTTGATAGAATGGCTAAAGCAATGGAGATGAAAGAATTAGAAATGATGTGGAAACTTCTTCTTTGGAATCAATGATTATCAATGATTGCACCAATGTTGAGATGGTACTTCAGACACTAGAATATAAGAAGTAACAAGAAAAATATTTAAACGAATTTTTATGTCAACTATAGATCCACGTGCCATTAATGACATACGTATAGTGTGGGAAAGATTCATACAAAAATTTGATTCGGAAGAAGTCCAAACCAAGAAGGTAAAACAACAAATAGAGAAAGTCAATGTGGATGCTGATTGATGTAGGAGAAGAAAATAGTTTATCGAGTACGCTGCTATTCAAATAAATATAAACTCAGGGATAAGCTTCTTTCAACAAAGAAATACTGATATAGAACACAAA